GAGCTTGGGTGACCAGAACAAAAAAAACTAGGAAGAGGAGAGGATTTTGGGGAAAAAACAATGAGTTCTGTTTTAGACACATTGAGTTTGAGATATCTATGAGACATCCTGTCTGAGGTGTCCAAAAGGGAGATGGGGGTGGAGGTAGGAGCTCAGATGGGAGCATAGGGCTGGATATATAGATCTGGGAAATATCTGCATAGAGATGATAACTTAACATATGGAAGCTGATGGTATCACCAAGGGAGCCCATATAGAGGCCAGAGCTGCATTGATGGATTGAGGGAACAGGGAGGAGTAAGGAGTTGTATAAGATGAAGAAAAGACAAAAAATAGGTTTCGTAATTATGAGATGGAAAGGTGGATGGACAGGAGGATAGGATCAGATTAGGGAATTTCCGAGTTTAGGATCATGTTACTGAATTTTTTGTTACAAGAGTGATCCAGAGTTTGAGAGATTAAATGAAATAATATACAAAGAGCTATTGCAAACTTTAATGCTTTCTTTAAATGTCAGTTATTACCACTATAATTATTTTTACATCATTTCTCTCTACTTTTCTTTGGGTTACCTACAATTTTGATTACTTAATAATTGTGATGACCCACAATTCACAGTATCATAGTAGAAAAATTAAGTTGTACAACAATCCATATACATTGAATACCCTCTGTTGATGTTAACTTGTGGATTCTAACAAGTGCTAGTAAATAATTACATGGTCCTATAAGCTTCAAAGTCAAGCAAATAACTTCTGGGGATCAGAGAAGAATTATTATTTTGGTGTATACAGGCAATGTACAGGGGATTGCAACCTCACCCCTCAACCAAAGGAATACATCCAAAACTGGGAAATAAAGTTAGTAAATGTCACCTTTGGAAACTGAAGATGTAAGAAATCATTATAAAAGTCAACTGTCCATCTGTGGAAGTTATCCACCATAAGGAATTATTTGAGTATTATGTTTACCTTCCAGAAAGGGAAGGGAGGGAGTAGGCTATTTTGAGAGAGGAGGATCTAGAATTAGCTTTAGGAATATAGATCTTCAGTCTAGTAACAGGAACAGTACCAAAAGTAACCTGAATCAATGCTTGAAGCAGTATAACCCAAGATATCCTTTCTGCAAATCTACAAATTAATATTGCCACAATTACCCAAATAAAACATTGTCCTGTCCTCCTTGGATTAAAGAGAAATCCTCTTGTCTGGTAATTCTTTTTTTTTTTTTTTTTTGGTGAGGCAATTGGGATTAAATGACTTGCCCAGGGTCACACAGTTAGTGTCAAGGGGCTGAGGCTAGATTTGAACTCAGGTCCTCCTGACTCCAAGGCCAGAGCTCTATCCACTGCGCCACCTAACTGCCCCTCATGTTAATCTTTTTAAAAGTTTGTTTTTAAAATAGTGTTATTTCTCATTCCTTCTGTTTTGAAAATGTGTTTTAGATTTTAGAAATGTGTGCTGCAACTGAAGTTGATTTTCGCATCAGTGTACCTTCTAGGCTGGAGATCATGGAGGTGCTACTTAAAAGGAGATAAGGGATTTGCTTTGCCTTATCCACATTCCCTCTCTACTTGGTTTAATGAGGGTTTCATGCATCAAATTTTTTAAACCCAGCTATCCTAGTCACAGCCTGTTTGGTCACAGCTACTTGTGATAATAATTTTGCTTGATTGCTAAGATGGAGGAAGCCAGCCTGTTCTCCCTGGGGTGTCAGGGTTGTAAACATCTGCTTATAGATTTCAGAGGAAGCTCAGCGGAGTTCTCCTTCATTGCCCCTCTGTCACCCAACTCCTGCTGATACTTCCTTTCTAATGTCTCTCATGTCTGTGTCTTTACGTTTTGAACATTATCATCTAACATCTTGTAGACCAATACAGCAACCTCCTAGAGGGCTTCCTTGCCTCCTGTTTCTACCCCACTTTGAGCAATCCTCCTCACTTCAATTAGCTAGGTATTCTGAAGACACTCTATGCCACTGCACCCAAAGTTCCTTCCATGATCTATTTCTAATCTACCTTTCTACCATTAGCTTTCAAAATCTTATATTCATTGTTCCTTAAAGATGCCTTGGGCAGCTAGGTGGCTCAGTGTATGATAGAGTACTGGGCCTGAAGTCAGGAAGACTCATCATCCTGAGTTCAAATGTGACCTCAGACACTTGCTAGCTGTGTGATCCTGGGCAAGTCTTTTGACCTTGTGTGCCTTGGTTTCCTCATCTGTAAAATGAGCTGAAGAAATGGCAAACCATCCTAGTATCTTTGCCTAGAAAACCCAAAATGGCATCAAAAAGAGTTGGATATGTGTGAACAATAACAACAACAAAGGTGTCTTATAGCCTTCTCCCATTATGTTTTCTTTTTAATGTTCTTCTTGTTGCATATCAAAAGGTGTACTTTAGAATGTGGGATGGTGTGTTACTTCACATTAAAGAAAAATTTTAAATAATTTTGTTTGATATGAATTTTACTTAACCTAGCATACTTTGAATGATAAGCATATATTCACAAAATTAACAAAACTTGCCTATTCTATGTATGCACCATCCTCAAAACATGACTCACCTTGAATGTGCAAAGAACTTCATAAAAATAGCAGCTCTTATGGAAGGCAAATTGCATAAATGTGTCTCCCATGGTGTTGCCAACTGAAATGCTTAACATGTAACAATTCTTCATAGCAAAAATTATGGTGCCATAAGTAAAAAAAAAGCATAAGAACCAGTGCATTCTTATAACTGTAATGCCATCTATCCTCCCATTCCAAAATGCTCCCCACCCATACAAATCATACCTATTCTTCAAGGCCCAGACCAAGCGTTATCACTCCCATGACACCTTTCTGCCCCCCTGTAATACACTGTGGCTCTCTTCCTTCTTTTTATTTCAAAACTTATTTTCCTTAATTCTCATTTACTAATTATCTTGTCTGGCAGAATATAAATTCCTTGGGGGGCAGGGAATTCTTCATTGTTTTTGTCTTAGTATTTCTAGTGCCTAGCACAGTGCCTGGCATACAGTAGGTGCTTGTTAAATAATAAATGTATGTTGATTGATGAGATCAAAATTTCTCTGAAATGGAACTTAGGGAAAGATTAAAATGTGATTATTAATCAAATGTAACAATCTAGGATAATATTGACATAACCGACGTGGGGCCTTGATTCTGCATGAGTATCCACAAAGAATTTCTCAATGTTTGTCTATCACTGCCTTGACAAAAATGATTATTTGATCAACAAGAGTATTCTACTGGCTTATCAGGCGTATCACTACACATGCAAGATATATTAAGCTATTACAGACTGAACCCATAACACATTATCCTTAAGTTCCTCTAACTCTCTTTGTTTGGAGCTATACATGTGAGGAAATCTTTATGAACTTTAACGAACCACATAAATGTGAATCATAACAAGCGTTACTTTCACAAAGTAATCTACTATTTTATTTTGGTTTTGCTAATGAGAAAAAAAAAATAATGCTCTGATCTGATGAAATCTGTGAGCATCTGGTCCACTTGGCAATTATATTTTTCCTTGTAAATTTATAAAATGTCATTCTGACTTTTATGAATTGGTCTCTTGTGAGTTGGGTTAGTGTGAATCAATTACACAAAGCTTGAGCACCACTTCATGGACTAATAAAAACCAGCCTCTGGAGCTGAGGACCAGACTCTTGAAGCTAAGATGACCTTAACAGAGTATAAACCATTCAACCTCAATAGGCAAGCCAGACTCTCTTCGCCAACTATCTTTCATTAGCTACAAACCGGTATACACTCACCTTAACTCTAGTTATCCTGGACATATGGAATAATATTATTGATACTTTCAATATTTAGACTTTTTCCCTCCATATCAAATTTTCCTATGCTACAACCATAATATGAGAACAGTGGTGATGGGCTATAATTGCATTTCAGACTTACCACTTTATCCATAGGTAATTCCTTAGCCAAAAGGGAACTAACATTGTAGGTAACTTTATGTTATAATTTTTCTTTTTTTTTAAATTTTTAGGTAGTTGGGATTACGTGACTTGCCCAGGGTCACACAGCTAGTAAGTGTCAAGTGTTTGGTCTGAGGCCAGATTTGAACTCAGGTCCTCCTGACTCCAGGTGCTTTATCCACTGCGCCACCTAACTACCCCCTATATTACAATTTTTCAAACAAAATCTCCAACGCTGATACACCGTTGAGAAGGAAAATAACACATGCATGGCTAACATATGTCCTGGTGACATTCTGATGCTACTAAATCTAGCCATCTTCCTTGATGTTACTGGGATTTCCAGATATCTATGTAGTTTACAAGTAGATCTGCCACTTAACTGCAGAACCAGTCTATTGTAGGTGTGGACAATAGGAGTGAGAAAGGTAGAAGGGATTTCTGCATGAAGAAAACGAGAGAACTGCCTCATCCTGCCTCACCTTACCTCAGAAGCAAATGTTTAAGATTGTGTGTGTTTTTTTTTTTAATGTTTTTACCCCAACTACAATTTTGTTTGCTTGAATTTAATTTATATATATTTTTAATCAGCAAAAATCTGCCTTCTCTCCCTCCCACCCCTTTGAGAAGAAGAAAAACAAAATCCGTTACAAACGTATAACCAAACAAAATAAATTTCTACATTGGCCACGTCAAAACAAAATGTCTCATTTAGCACTCTGTCTTTTGCCTTTCTATCAGGAGGTGGGTGGCATGTTTCATCATTAGTCTTCTGGAATAGTTAATACCAACTACATTTTGAATTGAGGGAAAATTTGAGCGTACAAAAATTCATCACGTTAATTTTATTTTTTAATTCATTTAAGATGCTATTTTGTAAAGCTTTTGTAAAGTGTTATAAAATTCCATGAATTTATTATCCTTATTAATAATTAGGATCATCATCATCATTTTAATTATGAGGTCCTTGGAAAGAAAAGGGAAACCCTTGGAATCCAAATCCCAAGGGTAATTAGAGGAAAACTGAACATAAAAATTCGAATTTACTTACCTTTCTCCCAAGAGAGGATGAGGTCTTTATAATAGTCAGTAGGGCTATGCGACATGCTATGAAATGGCCAGAAGAAGGATGCCAGAAATACGAAGGTGATGCATGACCTGTCACTACAACATAGGTTTCCACACAGACTTAGAGACGTTGAATTATTGCAGAGGAAACAATCCTGCAAGGAGAGAGGGGTATGGAGAGGTGTACTGGCCACAAGTCTTTCTCTCAGTTGGAGGGCTTTGACTCGGGGCTAGCTTAAACCCGGACCCCACCGCGGTCCAGCTTTGCACCTGGAAGCGGCTGCAATGCAGTGCAGAGGTGCAGGCGTCTGGCTGCAGGTGCCATAGTCTACGGAGGTCTTGCTGCAGCTGGAGGTACTAAAAGGAGACGGAAGCAACATCGTATCATGTAATGCATGCAGTTTTTGTGGGATAGACGCTCCCCTCCCCTTCTGGGAGGGTCAGACGTCAACTAATTTGAGCTGAAGAACTACCCCCGTAAGCCGATACGACTCCTGGGATACCTCCAGCTGCAGAAGCGTTGCTGAGTTTCCTACTGGCCTGCGGGGGGCGCCAGAAAAGAAACCCGGAAACGGAGCCTCTCTTGCCGCAATTTCCTCTCGATGGTTGCCCCTCTTACGACCCCTCCCACCTCCTCACCCCTCCCCGCCACCACTCCCCTGCGCCGGGTGGGAGGGTAAGGACGCCACTGCGCTTGCGCGCTTCTTCTGCTTTACTTGTTTCAGTCAGTCTGTGGGAGGTGGCCGGGTCGAGACGCAGGCCTTCCTCAGTGGCAAGTTCCTGTGAAGACATTTAGAGCGATGAACGGGTTCGGCGTCGGGATGGCGGCCGCGGTGGCGACTCCGCCGCCGTTGAGGACCAGCAGCCACGAAAACCTCGATAAGATTGATATGTCTCTGGGTGAGGGGTCGGGCCGGACTAAATCGCGGGGCCGAGGGGGAGGCGGGTAGTGAGTGGGTGGAACCAAGTGCCCCAGTTTATGGGGGAAGGGGCGGTTGGCTTGCCGGGTCGAACCAAGTACCGGGATTGTCAAGAGCTGGCGGGCCGGACCAAACGTGGGGTTGGGCCGGGGGGACGGACTGGGTCGGGGGGATGAAACCAAGTGCGGGACGAGGTGCGTGGACTGGGATCTCCCGCTGGAGAGGTGCGAGGAGTGGGGAGAAGGCGGTGGAAGCGCAGCCTAACCTGAGGCTCGGGAGGGGAGGGGCCCGCCGGGGGTGGACCGCCCCCCCCCGCCCCTCTTCTTCCTAGCCCACTTTGTTTTGTGGGGGCAACCGGGTAGTTTTTTTCCAGACGGAGGGGCAGTTGCGGGGGTCCCTAGAGCCCGAGGGTCCGAGTGGAGCGGGAGCCCTTCTCCCAGCTCGGCGTTGTGACTCCTCCACAAGTCCGGATGGAGTTGTTGCTGTTTTCCGCCCCGAGCCGGAGCTAGAGCGGTTGGGATCTGGGGTCCTGAGAAGGTTTGGACCCCAAACGGAGGCGGAGGGCTAAAAACTTGGTTCTGTGGAGTTGAATTGTTGGAGGAGAGTCGTTACGGAGACCCGACCCAGTGGGCCAGGGCTTGGGGGCGGGGGGAGGGAGGAGTTGACCTGGACTGTGCTTGCATTACGAGGGGAGGCTGCTGCAGAGGACGTTTGTTCTTGTGGAGTACGAATGGACTCGAGTTGGAATGTTAATTCTTTTAATGAGTTGTAACTTGTATATTTTTTATCCATATGTTGAGATAATAGAATTACTGTAGCTCAAAAGTAATTTGATTAGTAAAAGTTAATTCCCTTTTTAAAAAGTTTTGGGCATTTGATCCAAGCAAATTATCCCTTAAGTCTAAATTGATGAGTTAAAATTTAGACTATTGATAGAGAATAAATAGTATCTTGTGAAGGGAATATAGTGCTTCGACTCTCAGGAAGTAGTGCTTCAACTCAGGAAAGGCCATTAAACATTTCAACCTCAGTTTCCTCGAGTGTAAAAAATCCCAGCTTCTACAAGAAGCCTTTCTATCCCCCTTAATACTAGTGCCTTTCCTCTGTTGATTATCTCTAATTTGTACTGTAAAGTGCATTGTACTGTAAAGTATATAGTTTCTATATGGTTGGTTGAGTGTTCTGTTCCTGGTTAGCCTGAGTTCCTTTATAGCAGGGCCTTTTTTTTTTTTTTTGTGCATATCTTTATATCTCCAGTGCCCACCGCAATGGTTGGCACATAGTAGGTGCTTAATAAGTGCTTGATTTGACTCTTACATTCAAAGACTCTTCCAGCCATAAGTCTACGGTCCCATTATCTTCATTTTGCCATCAGTCAGCTACCATTTATTAAGTACCTACTATGTACCACGCCCTGTCTAGGGAAATAAAAGCAAAAACAAAAGACATAGGGTATTTACCAGTAGTGCCAAGTCTAAGTCAAGATACTCCATGAAAACATCTGTGTACAGAGGAGATACAGAGAAGATAAATTGGAGATGATTTTCCAGTTGTGGGAAGACAGCACCAAGGGGGATCCCAAGAAGGATTTTCCTCAGAAACTCCTCACTTCACATATGAAAGAAAATTTAAGGGACTTAAAAGCAGAGATATTAAGTGTGAGGCTGGCATTTGAATCTAGGTCGTCTCACAGTGTACTCTTTTCATACACTGCTTTTGGTACATGCTGTCACTGTTTTGATGTGTACTGTGCTTCACTGTGGCAGTTGTGGTGAGGAAAGCTCTTTGTAAACCTTTATATGCGATTTGTTTTGTTCTGTAGAGTGTTTAAATGTGCCCTAGTAAGCGAATTCTCTAGGTGTGCCCTTTTGAAAGTAGGGATCTATAAACAGTACTCATAAAACTCAGCATAATATCTGAGAATATTTTTTGTTGCAGTTTTTTGTGTTTTGTTATAATGAAAATGTTTATTGAAATCAAAATGAACATTTTTTTGCCTATACTCATCTAGCTCATGTATGGTTTTAAGGACAAGCTTTTAATAAGCTTTTAATAACTGTTCCAAGTCAAAATGGTATGATAAACTTCACAAAGTAGTTACATTTTTTCTGATTATTTAAATTTCATAAATTATGCTATAGCTTCTAAATGCTGGCAGTCAGGAATCAAGTTTGAAGTTTGGCAAAGTAAGGTGAATGTGTGGCACATATCTTTACAATCATTCCTTACTTCCTGGATGTTTCTGTGTTATTTTGGGATTTTGGATTTTTTGATGGGTGGTTAGGATGTTCACCAAGGAAAAGTTGAATAATTAATTGCTCTTTGGTGCAGCACAGAGTTATGAAGCTGAGCTATAGCTTAGTTTACTCCCTCATTTTTGTTGTAGGACTAGGTCATGAGAAAATATTTATTGTACAGAATTATTTTTTTGCAAAAAATTTATTTTACCAAAGCACAAAAGTGTTACTATTTTGGACCTGTAGAGGATACAGATTCTTTCTGTTATAATGATTCAATGTAATATATATATTTTTTAGCTTTCTTCATATCCCTCTTTTGGAAGGAAAAATCTTTTTTTATGTTGTAGAGGAGTTAAGTTGGTTTGGGGACTCAGGTGATTGATAAAAAGTGGTCAAAAATTTTAAATATTATCATTTTATCTTCTTCACTTTAGTAAATTTTTTATCCTTGTGCTCAAATAATAGAATTGCCTGTATCAGATTGTGTGCTGTCTTGGGGGAGAAAATTTTAAAACTCAAAAGCTCATGGAAGTGATTGTTGATAAATCAAAATAAATTAATAATAAAAAAAGAAATAATAGAATTGCTGCAACCCAAAAGCAATTTGATTAGTAACATTTACTCCCTTTATAAGAGTTTTGATCATTTGATCAAACTTAGCATCTCTGAAGTCTAAACTGATGACTTACTTACTAAAAGAATAAATAGTGTCTTGTGAAGGAAAACAAGTGCTTCAGTAGTGATAGTCTCCTAACTATCCTCCTTATGAATTGGAATCCTGTCATCTGAGTTGGACGAGATCTGAGGCTATCTAGGCTAACCTTGACTAAAACAATAATCTCCTAAAACATCCTTGATGCAGTTATCCAGGCTTCAAAACTTAGCCAGATGAAAAACTCACAGTCTCTGATTAAATTGAAAGTTTACTCTTGGCAGAATTATTTGCTCACATTTATGCAGCTTTTTATGGTTTGCTTTCTTGACAATAGTCCTGAGAGCAGGCAGTTCAAATATTATTACCCTCCTTTTACATCTGAGTAAACTGAGTTTCCATATTAGTGACTACCCAAAGTTAGCACATGTCAGGAACTAGGATTAATGTCTAGGTCCTCTGACTCAATTTCTTTTTTGACTGGGTAGTATGCCTAGAAAAAATTTTTAGCAAAGTGATTGACAATGGCTTTCATTATATTCTGGAGGCAGTGTGGTAAAATGTACGCTAGATAATTTTATGGTAAGATCCCAAAAGTAGTCTTTAATGGTTTCTCATGGACTTGGAATGTGTCCTATAGAATGTTTCAGGGATCTGTCTTTGACTTTGTGATAATTAAAAAATGTTATCCTTTTCTGTATTTTATTGAGAATATATTAACTGAGAGAATACAAACCATCTACCTCCTTTTATGTTTTTGTGAGTTTCTTTTATGGAACCCTTCCAAAAATACTGGTTCCTTTGGGGAAAGGAATTAATAATAACAATAATAATAATTTGCTAGTCAAATTCATTGAGGCAGCTAGGTGCTCCATGATAGAGAGCTGGGCCTGGAGTCAGGAAGAACTGAGTTCAAATCCAGCTTCGAACACTTAACTAGCTGTGTGACCCTGGGCAAATCACTTAACCTCTGTTTGTCTTAATCCACTCGAGAAAGAAATAGCAAACCACTTCAGTATCTTTGCTAAGAAAACCCTATGGACAGTATTATACGATCCATGGGATCCCAAAGAGTGGGGCATGACTGAGCAACAAAATTAAATTCACAGATGAGGCAAAGTTAAGAGGACTTTCCTACCTAATAATAATTGGGATAAATGTAAAGTTTCACACTTGGGTTAAAAAAAGAAACTATGCAAGTGTAGGATAGAAGAGGAGAGTCAGATAATAGTAATTTATCTGAAAAATATGTGGGGATTTTATTGGAAGCTTGATATGAATTAGCAGTGTAAATATTGCGGTCAGAAAAGATGAATATGATTTTAGGTTGAATTGAGAGAAAGGACCAGGAGGGAGGAGTCCTGTATTCTGTCCTAGTAAACTCATATGAAATATTTTCCCCTCAATTTTAGGGCACCATATGTTAGGAAGGAAATAGGAAAGCTGGAGGGAATCTAGGAGGGCAACCAGTATTGTAAAGGGCTTTGAGATTTCCATGATTTAATAGGATCCTATACAAGACCTACAGATGTTTAGCTTAGGGAAGAAAAGGCTTAGAAGAACA